TTCATGGAATTTTCTGCTTGCAGTTTTAAAATGATCAAAACAACAATAATCCAGACTGTAACAGACAGTGATATACTTACTGTTCCACTAGGACAAGAGTGGACTAATAGCTATACCATGAACGCCAGGTTAAATAGTCTGAGCACTACCTCCATCTCCTGATAATGGACAGGCAGGCCCCTTTTGAACCAGAGCTGAGTTTGGGACTGGAATCTGGCACAAAATGGTGGAACACATAATAGACAAGGACAATACGGTGAATCATTTTGCAAGACACAACAACAGACAACAAACAGTGCAAAAAAAAAACAATACTTATTTCTATTGACAAAATATTCATACAAAATGTGAGTATCCTTTGTTCTGAAATGCCAAAGATGAAAAGAGGAAGTAGTGAATGTTTATGAGGGATCTCGTCAGACAGACGTTCTAAGTACAGGTAGGCTAGTGATCACACAGTGCGCACAGCAGCAGTGAACCCTTTGAGCTGCTGGACACCTGTGCGCTTGCTGCACTATCAGTGTGGTCCCTCTTTCTGACAGGTAAATATGCAGAAGATGTGTTCGGAGAGCTGTTTCAGCAGGCCAGCACTTTCGCGGTGCGCGTCAACACACTGGGAGAAAGGATCGACCGGCTGCAGGTCAAAGTCACACAGCTAGACCCCAAAGAGGAAGAAGGTGAGGGGTGGGTGGATATGGAGGGGAGGAGGTGGCCAAGTGTGGTTGGGGGAGAGCAGACAGGGGACGGGGAAGCAGGACAGGTGGCTGGGTAAGGAGAGGTGGTGATGGATGGATAAGGTAGGGGGGCAGGGCAGATGACATGTTACAGTGAAGGCTTTCTTCAATGTAAAGTGTGTGGGTGAGGGTGGGACGGCTAATCACCAGGAATACTAATGGATTGGGTGTGGAGATGGACAGGGAATGTGACCATTTAAAGGTAGGTGGCCAAGTAAGATGGGGACAGCAGATGACTAGTTATCTGTATTTTCTGTTTTAATTTTACACTGCCATAGAAGTGATTGTTTGCTCTAGATCATTCACATTCTCTAGATTGCAGCTCACCAAAATATATTCATTGACCTGATTATTAATAATAAATATTTTAGTCCTTGTAGTTGTGGTAATTGTGCACTACATACATCTCCATTCTGTTCTAAAGCTAGTAAGAGTACATATAGATGTGTGTGAATGGAAGCAGTGTTCAAATGCACTACCCTCACAAAAGTACTATACATAACAGTTACACAGACATCAGAAACAACCTCTGACTACTGGCATTGTGAGCCCACAGTGTTACAGTGGCTGTGATTATCCTGAGGAGTTGTGTGTGCACTGTTCTTCGCCTCAAGCATGGCGCTGGTGTTAATAGTCCCTTTCACTCTCCTTCTCTCTGCAGTGTCCTTGCAAGCCATCACAACCAGGAAGGCCTTCAGGAGCAACCTTACCCAAGACCAGCAACTCTTCATTAGGGACTCCCTACCCTTGCCTTTGCAGGAGACGTACAGGGTCTGCAGCAAACCTCCTCCGCTTAACAATCTCAGCATGTACAGGTACACCATAGCCTGAGCTGTGGCAGGAGTGTTGTTCATTTTCGGATACGTTTTGGCCAGAGATGTCCAACTGTTGTTGCAGGTGTGGACTACAGACCTTTTTGAATGCGTCATTATTAAAGCTTGCCATTCAACGCCTCCAAAGTGCTATACACAAGGATAATGTCTTGTCATTTGTCTGCAGTAGGAGGGAAGGTTGGGAGGATCTGGTTCCAGCAACTCTTTAAAGCAACAAGCGCTTGTTTTATATGATGTTTTATATATGTGGGCTTTTTCAAATTCTGCCATTTGGATTTCGAGATGGTGATCATCTTAATAAGCTAGCCAGCTAGCAAGTCTTAATGTTTAGCTTGTTTGGACAGTGGTGTTGTTGGATAAATCTGCATTTGGTGGTCTTACAGGGTTCAAATTAAATGATTGGAGAAACTGATTCCTAATCAACTACTTATGCAGTACTGTAAATAGAACATATTTCATCTATCCAATAAGGATCGTGGCAACCTGGAGCCTACATCCAAATCCTGGGCCCTCATGTTTTACACTGACACAGTCAGGAGGGGATGCTAGCTCATCACAGGGCACCTGCTTTAAACTCAAAATATTTTTTACTAGGTTGTAAGAATTTTCACAAATTCACAAAAAATATGTTTTGATAGTAACGAATGCAGCTTGTAAAAGCAGTGCTTGCTGGACCTTTTTCTGTTGATGTGTGGGAGAGTTTCTTCTCCAACGCCTGCCTGTGGTGAAGGCAGAGCTGTTACCACCAATCCTGCCTCTGTTTGCATCTCCCAGGGAGGATGGGAAGGAGGCCCTCAAGTTTTATACTGACCCCTCGTACTTCTTTGACCTGTGGAAGGAGAAGATGCTTCAGGACACCAAGGATATCATGAAGGAGAAGCGCAAACACAGGGTGAGCTGCTTCATGTATCTATGCGGTCCGCAAGGCTGGTGGACGTCCTGGTGTCTGTAGCATTTAGTAAGCTAATGCATCAACAATCCCAGACATAGTATGCAAGTTCTGTGCACATTAAGTCCCTGAAGCAAATTGTTGTACCTATTTATTAGTTTGACAGTGTGGTCGGGGTAAATGCATTGCTCAAGAATAGAACAGAACTTCTTCCTGCATTAAGGATCCTCTAGTAAGGGGTCTGGGAGTTCGGAGCACTGTTCTGCATTGCCCCTTCAGTGATATGGAATGTCTTTAGAACACAGACCTGGCTCTGCAGCTAAAGCCCATAATGAAAATGAACATACAGTACTGAAGATGATCATCTTTAACTGAAGCAAGCCCTGGGACTGAGCAATTCTGACCGTCACTGTATCTGTACATTGTTCACAATTTGAACAAAAAGATAAATATATATTCATTGACCCGTCTATTTCATGTTTGTTCAGTTTAGATCGGCATAAAATGAGATGAATAATTTCAGAAAAATACATAGTTTTTTTAAAATGTGGGCCTGTGAAATATGGCTGAAGCACTTCTTTATGGATTGACAATACACTACTTTTTGCTGTTTTATTATAGGACATCTATTATTTCCAAGATTACTCCTCCCTTGTAACCATAAGGTATAATGTATAAACAGCATGTAAGGGCACGGAGAGGAGAATGTCATAATCCTTGGTTTATGAAGCATTTGTTTCTCAGACTGGACATTAATAAAATGAAAATTTCCTGTATTCTTGACCACTGATACAAATGCGTTGTGAGCAGTGATCGGTGTAGAATGTACCAACAATTTAAAGTGTAGAACTGGACCAGGCAACATTGTGAACAACAAAGAAATAGGACCCAAGTTTGGAGGTGTTGTTGTTGTTATTATTAGAGAAGCAGTTTTGTTAGTATTATAAGAGAAATGAATTCTAATTATAATTTTGTACACTTATATAGCACTTTTCTGAACACTCTACTCAAAGTGCTTTACAGGTAATGGGGACTCCCCTCCACCCTCAACAATATGCAGCCCCACCTGGATGATGCGACGGCAGCCATAGTGCACCATAACGCTCACCACATATCAGCTATCAGTGGGGAGGACAGCAGAGTAATGTAGCCAATTCAGGGATGGGGATTATTAGGAAGCCATGATTGGGAAATTTGGGGAAATTTGGCCAGGACACCAGGGTAACACCCCTACTCTTTAAGAGAATGATATAGCGTAGTGAAAGAAAGAAATCCATTATTGCACTTTGTAAAATATCCATAACTGTGAAAAGAGAGATAAGAGGGCACATCTGGTAGTCCATTTCCAGGGAAGGAGATTCAGATTATTTGAATTAATTTGTTTTAATGAACTCTGACCTACCTGCAGTCTTCTCCTTTGCCTGAAGCACTAAAAATCATCAATTTCATTTAAATGCATTCCGGTGACCAGCCCACCTGTCACATCGAATGTACCATTTCATGACGGTGCGGCGTGTGCAGACCACCAGTTTCCTGGTGGTGTCCTGTCGGTGGGCTGGCTGAATGCCATGGCAGTATGGCTGAGCCGCCCCTCCTGCACTCGTGTCTTTGCAGAAAGAAAAGAAGGACAACCCCAACCGAGGAAACCTGAACCCCCGCAAGATCAAGACCCGCAAAGAGGAGTGGGAAAGGATGAAGATGGGAGAGGAGTTTGTGACACCCAAGAGCGACGCTGCGTAAGTCCAGCTGGCACAGGGGCCTGAGCCAGGATAGACAGCTGTTCATTCTTCCTGGAAGGCACATTCCAGGAAGCTCAGAAATGACTGCTTATAGGATCAAGCTGATTTGACTTTACAAGGGACATCTTGAAGAAAACGAGAAAATGGTGGAATTTAGTTTAATTTCTGGTTAATTAAAGGGCCTTTCCTTTACCTTCTTTTTTCTCTTAGTTAATTCTAAGTAGGTTTCAGTTATTAACAACTAAGGCAAATTGGTAAGAAAAACAGCTTTTCCTTGGGCCAAGATGTGGAGATGTTCACAGACGCACAGTTTATGTATGCTGGTCCTGCTTTTCAGATACAAGAGTAACATTGCTGATGGGAGCACTGACCTTCCTATTAGAAAATAGTGTTTTCTAAAATTAGCATTTTGATTTTTCAAATAGTAAAGCTTTACAGATTTTGCTTGTCTTCCCAATTTCTCAGACGTTTGTGTTGGAGCCGAGAATTTCGAGTTGCAGCAGTTAATGGTTCCCTTTAGTAAAATGGTGCTGTGCTTCCACAACAACTCCACTACAAAGCAAAAATGGCCTAGCGTATTCAAAGGATTCATTTTGTATTTAACGTTCATTTTCTAAATGAATGTTTCTGTGTTATTAATAGTTAGTCTTCCTTGCACCCATTTATTATAAGCCCAATTTAAAAAATCTGTTAATATGTAGCAGTATATGATTTTATTAATCGTAAAATATGAATCATAATTTTATTATGATTTTATTGCAATGTATTGTCTTTTAATAATGAGCACAAATCCTCATTTCCTCAGGTTGTGCTGTTCATTTGGACTGTGATATTGCTGCAGGAAGAAGTTCAGGGATGGGTGTCTAATTAATGTATTAATGGATTTAATTTAGTACAGATAGATTCTTCAATATACAGCCTGGTGGCCAAACCAGGAACCTTTTTTCTATCCAAATTGTAAAATCTTCCGGTCTTATCGAGTAGTCTACCTCATGTTGTGCATATTCAGAAGAAAAAAAATAGAAACCAACTCTTAATACTTTCATTTAATAAAAAAATGCCCAAATTCTATCCATTTTTCATTAAATAATTTACACTTTTTTTCCAAAAAACTTAAATTTTTAAAAGACATTTCCCCAAACGCCCCTAGTGATGGTGACAATATATAAAACGTATGGCGTTATTTTTTATTAATGTTTTTCTTCCTCCTGTTCCTCTTTCTCTTTGTGTTCTTCTGTGTCATCACCCTAATATTAATAATAATGCACCCACTTCAGAAGAAATGGGATTCGCAGGTCCAGGTAAAGAGACAACTAATATATTTAAATTAACACTGTCTCTCCTCTCACAGTGAGAGTTTTATGACTATCGATTTAGGATTTAAGTACAGTAGGGTCTTGACATTCATGAGGGTTCTGTGCGTGAACAGCCAAATTCATATAGAACCAAGTCCACCCCAGTGCCGTCAAATAATACACTACAGAATATAGTATGTGTGGTTAAAAGACATAAGAAATTCTCCCTTATATGATAATTAAAGTACTAATGTGCTGACTTCAGGTTAATTCACATAACATTGATCAAGTAAAAGAAACAGCTGTGATCACAAACTTAAACTTAAGTAATCGGCTAAAATAAATGAATGAAACATGAATCCCTCCTTTGCGTCCAGTGAGTGCCTGCACTCGCTCTCTCTGCCTCCATGATTAGCACACCCAACTGTAATGAAACGGGCAATAAAACTGTCAAGTGAGCCTGTGAAGTCATTTCCCCCGTCATTCCTAGTATGACAGTATAAAGACAAGGCCTCGCTGGATAGTGCGTACTTGGGTGCAGGGCAGGGAGAGGTTCACTCACTAGCTAGATTCATCTCGTGATCCTAGTCCATTGCATCGCTCATTTGAAAGTTGCTCTTAACCTTCAACTCGGTTTCATTCCGCTCTGCTCTTCTTCCATCCAAGACCGCATCAGGCAGACCAAATCGCGAATAAGCAATAATTGTTGCAGCTGTTGAGATCCCACTGTACACCTGTCAAGAAAGCACATTGAAAGCAATATCTTGATTCCAAAAGGACAAATGGCAGCAATGGAGAATTCTGCCGCTTGACTGATTTCATTGTCTTCCCCTCCACGTTCCTTAATCTTGCAGCAGCAATCTGCTAACAGTCTGTGACTGTCATTGCTGACCTCCAGAGGAAAATGGAAAGTGTTTGCAGACAAGTCTTTAAGAAGATCTACTAACAGAGATTCCCTCCCCTGCCTCCCCCCAAAGAAAACATAAAGCCCACCCGCTGTTGTCTTCAATTGAGAAGTGCACTGAAGCAGTCGTTCACATAAAACACCAGCCTGAGTGTGTTGTGAAGAGAAACTGCCTCAAAGTGAACCTGAAGCTTAGGGCTGTTCTAAATTTAGAGCACACTAAGAAGCTTCTGCTTTTAGCTGTGGCTTTATGAGCTCTGTTGTTCTCAGTGTACTGTATTCGGGTAATTTAACTCAAGTGATGTATTCAGACAAAACTTGCCTACAGTAGTCGCTTAAACAGTGTTGTTTTTAACTACATTCCTGCGTACTTTGGGAGGAAGAGTTAATAAGGAACTTTTGGAGCATGGGAAAAAACAATTTGGAAGAAGACTGTAATGGTATAAATGCCTGTTTTCAATTAATAAATGTATAAGCGTATTAAGAAGGCTGCACTTCCATTTTTGACTATAGAAAATTTTCCTTTTCTTTAGTGTAAAAGGGAGTGCCACTTTGTGTTTTTCACTGGGGCTCACATGCTAATATTCTATCTGGACCAGTTTCGTGGAGCCTTTTTTTTTATTTAGCCAGCCAAGGGTCTCGGAGCAACGGATTTATAAGTCTAGTATCATTTAAGTTTTCTTCCCATGATATATTCTTGAATCTTTAAAATGATGATTTTTAGCTGTTAAGAACTCTCTTAATGGCTGAACTCTAGATAACCAGTATACAATACCAGGGATAATGAAATTCTGCTGATTGGTCTCATGCTGGCCAATATAGAATTTCACATACATATTTATATTATATATACATTTATAGTGGATATATTTACCTGTTCTTACCTCTAACCTCTAACCTAACTAGTTAAATTTAAACCTGAGATACTTCTTTTCAGTTGAATCCAGGTCATACATGGGGTTGAAACATACTGTAATATAAAGTTGATCACCAGAGACTCCTTGTCAGCTCAGTTACTGTCCACTGTTGTGCCCACATTGACTCACAGTTTGCAGATTATCTGGGAAATTGCTTTAATTGTCTTGGTGTGTGCATAAAGCTTAACATCACTTAGTTTTTCATTATACTTGGTTAAATAGTACCAAGTACTTAGGTCCCCTTTTTTGTCTTTAGTCTCACTAGGACAATTCTCTGGCAATTCTCATTCTGCGTAGCGAAACCTACATTGAGCTGTGGAAGGTGATGTCATGTTTTCTCGCCTTTTTTTCCAGAGATTCCAATGAGATGCTAAATGGAAGCATCAGCTCCGGGGATGGGATGGGAACGTCGGCGGAAAGCTATCTGGATCAGAGCCAGAACTCCTACTCTGGGGTGTTTGACCCCGGCTCTCCACCTCCACCCCCGGCCATCGATGAACTGCCCCCACCTCCTCCTGACATGTAAGTAGTGATTGGTGATCCCCAGAATGGCCTCCGACACTTAAAACTACAAAAGGAATCATTGGATTAACTGGAATTCTGCTTTACACTCACGTCATTATAATGTAACATTCCCTTTTTCTGGCAATTCAGTGCACAGCTACTGTTATTCTTTCACGTTTCTGGTTCAGTCCCATATCTCACCCTTTTTGTTAGTGCTCTTGTAGGTCATCATTGGTACTTACATTGTGCAGCAAATTTCTTTCTGTTCTTTTTGAAAAGGGCAACCACTGTAAATAGGTTAGACTGGAGACCTGTATCAGCAAGCTAGGGAACAAGCAGAGGTTAATTCCATGCCACGCAGTAAAAAGAAAGAAGAAAAAACATGTGGAGATATCGCACACACAGATGAGGAAGGCTTGACATGGAACTTCTTTAAGTTCCACTTACCGTTAATTATTTTCAGCACGAAATTAACCCCCATAGATACACACTCTTGTTGTTCAAGTGGACGTGTTCACGACAATAAAAAAGAAACTTGATTTTGTACCTCTGGAACTTCACCTCAGTGTTAAGCAGACCGCTAAGCCACTTGCTTACAAACACAAACCAGATGGATACCTGCTCAGTATTCATATCTTCCAGCTCTCATTGTAGTCAATGCAGTGTAATGAATCATGAGGTAAAATAACTTTTCAGTCCTGTAAGTATTTCAGCAAGGTCACCGCATGCCTTGCGGTTTGTATTAAATCACGTGTGGCATCTGGTATCTGGTTATGAATTATGCAATTAATCTAACATCCTCCTGTGGGGTGATTGCGATGGGGGCGATTGATTCAAATTGCATTCCAGTGACTGATATTTAGCTGTGTTATGATTACCAAACAGCCAGTTCCTAAAGAAACACTTGTTTTGTTTTGTTTTTTACCTTTTTACCTCATTTGGTCATTTGTTTGTCTTGTTTTTTTTTATTATTTCTATTGGATCTGGTGCGAGAGTGAAGATTGTGTATCTCACTGTGTCTCCTGCGCAGGTACAATGATGTCCAGAGAGGAGGGACCCAGAAGCGCTCTAGCATGCTCAGTCCTAACCACCCCCCACCTGCGCCCCCTATGGGCTCCTCTCCTCCAGGCACCAGACCCTGCATTTCCCCTCCCCCTGCACCCCCACCTCCTCCTCCCTCTGGCATGGGCATTCCACCCCCTCCCGCTGGATTCGACGCCCCGCCCTCGCCCCCACCGCCTCCCAGTGGCCCTGCTGGCTTCCCTGCACCACCCTGCATGCCCCCTCCCCCTCCCTCCATGGATCCTGCCTCAGTCGTGCCAGTCTCTCAGCCTCCCGGTGGACCCCCTCCTCCGCCTCCCCCCCCTCCTCCCCCTGGACCCCCACCGCCGGGGCCCCCTGCACCTCCTCCGCCTTCCAGTGCAGCTCCTGTGGCTACCAGCGCCCCCAAACCACAGGCCCCGGTTAGCGATGCACGCAGCGACCTGCTGCAGGCCATCCGGCAAGGTGAGTCTGTAAGAGGCGTGCGACCTGCAGCACCGCAAGTGTGCAGAAATTGGTGGAAAAGAGCACAGGTGACATGGTGGAAGCAGTTCCTCGGCGTTCTCGAGCTCTGGGGCTGAAGCGAAGAGTGATCATGCAGGACTCGTGTGAATTGCAGTTATATCATTCTGCAACTCAGAACTGGCAGCCCACTGAAGCTCAGCAGGTGGGAGCCTGGTCAGTACCTGGATGAAAGACCTCCTGGGAAAGCTAAGGTTGGTGCTGGGAGACGTGTTAGTGGCACCATTAAGAAGCGCTCTCCCTGTGGCCTGTGTGGGTCCGGTATAGTGACGGAGACACTATACTGCAAAAAAGGCTCCGTCCTTTGGATGAAATGTAAAACCGAGGTTGTAACTCTACATGGTTACTAAAAATCCCAGGGTGTTTCTTGAAAGGAGTAGGGGTGTTACCCCGGCATCCTGGCCAAATTTCCCATTGGCCTTTACCAATCGTGGCGTCCTAATAATCCCCACCTATGAATTGGCTTCATCACTCTGTTCTCCACCCCACTGATAGATAATGTGTGGTGAGCATACTGGCGCACTCTGACTGTTGTTGCATCATTCAGATGGAGGATACACATTCGTGGTGGTGGAGAGGAGTTCACGTTGCCTGTAAAACACTTTGAGTGGAGTGTCCAGCACTAAATAAGTATAAGGAAGAAATAATATTATTATTATGCAGGAGGTGAAAATTATTAATAATAATACATATAATCTCGTGTGTCAGTTAGAAATAGATATACAATGCTCTACTCGCTGGGGTATCTAAATCTACTCTGAACAAACTGCAGTATGTCCAAAATTCAGCAGCCAGAATCCTGACCAGGTCTAGTGCAAGTGTTCACATTACTCCTATCCTGGAGTCCTTGCACTGGCTTCCAGTCAAATTCCACGTAGACTTTAAAATCCTCATGCTCACCTATAAGGCTCTGCATGGCTTGGCACCTCAATACCTGTCTGAACTATTATTGCCCTACTCCCCACCTCGCAACCTCCGCTCTTCAAATTCTGCCCTCCTTACTGTCCCCCAAGCCTGTCTACATTGTATGGGTGACAGGGCCTTCTCCTGTTATGTCCCCAAGCTCTGGACCTCTCTGCCCAAGGATGTCAGAGTCACCTTCTCTAAACTCCTTCAAATCCAGACTCAAAACCCTCTTCTTCAGAAAAGCCTTTACTTAACTGGTTCCATTCTTCTATATAAAATATAAAATAAAGTTTATTATTCTTATTCTTCTTATTGTTATTCTTATTATTACTTTGACTAGATCCAACAGACAGTACTGTATATTTGATAAAGTATTGTTGTACATTGTTGAGTCACTCAAGTCCAGCCACCATATGGTTTATAACACCTGCAAGCACTGATAGCACTCGCCTTTTTGTTAGAGTTTGCTGCTTTGTGGTTTTCATGAAATGGTTCACTGGAGCAAACGAACAAAAAAATGCCTTAAGAGACCAACAAAAATGGCAATACAAGCTCTTCAGCTTCGCTAGGTGGTGATAAAATGCAGGCCACCACAGTGGAGCAGGAAAGTCGGTCCTGAGGCAAATCATTCCAGAGAGAAAATATCAAGATGGATATATTCAGTGTGGCTTGCTCACTGACAGTGAGCTGCGTGCGCTGTGTGTCTTATGTTCAGAGGCACTAGTGCAAGACAGCATGAAACTCAAAAACTAAAGGGATGTTTACATACTTAATGTGCAACACATGGTGACCAGCCAAATAAAAACAAGAAATGAAAGATATATTGAAAAGATTCCAACCCATTCCTGAAAAATACTTCCTAATACTTTTGCAAGCCCAGCAATCAGACCATTAGATCTGTTGCACCTTTATTGGCAATTGGCATGATAAATGTTTACTGATAGGTAATGATTTTACAAAGAAAAAACAACAAAAGAAGTAGGCACTCTGGATATAGACATCTGCGTCCACGCACCAAGGGTGGTTTACAATGAAACGGTACAAAAGCAGTTCTCTTTGGCAGAGGCTATGGTGTGGTTATTTTATAGGTCCCGGAGATGTTACATTCACTTTTGTGTAGCAGAGGTTGAGAAGGAGACTTTCTGGGAGTGCCTGGGCTGGCCTGGGGCTAATGTTCTCTCCTGTGTCTCAGGTTTCAACCTGCGCAAAGTGGAGGAGCAGCGCGAGCAGGAGAAGAGAGATCACATGGGCAACGATGTGGCCGCCATTCTGTCGCGCCGCATCGCAGTGGAGTGCAGCGACTCCGAGGACGACTCCTCCGAGTTCGGCGAAGAAGATTGGTCTGACTAACACGCTCCTCTGCCTCTTTTGCAGAGGACCTTAGTTACTACATACCTATCACCCCTTTCCTTTCCATACAGCTTCAGACAGGCTCAGATCACAGCTTCACCGGTGTCTGGCAGAGGTTCAGCTTTTCTCCCAGCTCGCACCTCTGTGGCACGGGGAAGGCACGAGTCATGGTGGCTCAGCAGTTGGACTTGACATATCTTCTCATAAGACGAGTTTCCTAGAGTTGATCAGAAATCCGGACTCGCATTGTGGGAATGCCAGAACCATTGGACCTTGGTCATAGTTTTCTCTTTGACAAGAACAAAGTGTTATTCCTTAAACACAGTGACTTTGCAGCAGGGAACGGACAAAATAGGTTGCAGAAGATAAAAGGCTGCATCTCCAAAGAGAATGATGGCACCACCAGCTGAGTGTGTTGTATCAGCCACCATTCATGTGTAAGTGGACAACAATGGTGTGTGGAACAGAATTACTTTGCATTTCGACCCTTTAAATTCCCTGATCCACTACAGGTGCTCAGGTCTTGTGCAGTTGCTGTCTGGTAATGAAATTTAGTCACTAACAGCAAATTAAGTGGATTGCACAGATTCTCAGTCATGGCACTGGACCGTGCCTGGTCTGCTTTTGTAACTGAAATGAAATTTTGTCTCATCGAAAGGGAAAGCAGATGACATTAGTCTGTTGTCTGTAAGTGATGCACACCATTGCAAAAGTCTCTCTACAGCGAAGACTGGGGGGCTGTGCTTCTTTATTAAAAGTTCTCTCATCAAAATGGTTAAAAATCCCAGTGAAGTTTAATTGAAGCCACTGCAAGGTAATGGGACTGTGACCCTAGTTTTTGTGTGAAGCACGGTTTGTAGCCGTTTTCTCCACCAGGTTCAGAGCCCTCTGACTCATCCCTTTCCTTCCCTAGGCAGCAAACAATAGTTATTTAACTTTATGAGTCCCCCTTTTTCAAGGGGTCTTCAAACTACAGAGAAGGGGGAAATTGCCAAAGAGTGTCTCTTAACCCACCTCTGCAAGGACAGCCAAATTTAGAACATGTTAGAGCAGGCCTGCAATGTAAGCTGTCACTGTATGCTGGCTGTGCAGCATACTTAACTTGTTATGCACGAATAATTGTGCTTTGCTCCCATAGAGATTCATTTAAACAGTTTGAGAAACTGTGCATTTTCTCCTGGAAATATTTTCTCCTTTGCATTGTTCTCACGAGTTTCCAAGGATTTAAGCCAGCACCTTAGAGATTTCTAGGGCTTTCAGGTGTCTCCATGCCCTAGCTTGGTCTTTACTCTTGGAGGGTGCCTTTACAAGCAGTACTAGAACATTGTTTAAGCCCAGACAAGCTGCTTATGTGAATATTTAGTGTTGACTCTAAAACCCCTGCTTTTTATGTTTTACCTTGTTAAGGTTTAAGACTTCAACGTTTTAGAAAGCATAAGAGCCATGTCAGCAATTTTGAGTCAGTCTTTATAGAAATAATGTTGTTTTTTGAACTTCCTAAAGTCCTTTTTAACATTTTTTTAAATCTCAGTTTTTAGAAAAGGCAAAATATCAGAACCGTCTCTCTAACCTGTAGTTGGAATGATACCCTGATATCAGAATTCCTATATTAGTCAAATAAATAAGTACTGTTAGATTTGCTGCTGTGTTAGCTTAACACAACTAACGCCAGGAAGCTTGTCCTCCCATAGTTTTCTATGAGGCTATGTACAGCATGAATGAACTCACTGGCCCTCCTTCCTTTGCTTTATTGAGAGTGATGGAAGATGTGAGATCCCAGCTGGTAAGCAGGTGACAAGGTTAGAAAGTGCAGTTCTATGAAGCAGTCACGTGTGTTATGCTCTCTGGGCCTCATGGCCTCCTTTTACCTAAGTGCTACTGCTGATGCAGTTCAGGCAAAAACTCAGTACTCGTTTTGTAACATTGAAACTGGAATTGTTTGTGGTCAAGAAATGAAGCCATGAATCTGGTCTAGTAATTAAAGGGTTGCCTACAATACCGTTTTGAACCAGAAAGCCAGTACAACTGCCGGCTGTTGTGTTGGCATACTGAATGACTGGAGATTTCAGTTGTACGTTGGCCATGAACGTGCCTTATTCGTGCTTGTGAATTATTCACAATGTGCCTTTCAATGGAAAAGGAAGTGCAGTGCTTTCCTAATTCACACTATGAGTAGGGCTTCTGTTGCAGCAAATAACTTGGAACAGCAACCCTCCTTTGGCAAGGTTCTAATTGACATTGTTTTCTCTGTGAAATATGAGCTGCGTGTCATGACCACGTTTTTCTTTTTAAAACGAAAGGTTTCATAACATGGGCACCCTGCATAATGAACATCTAAGTGACTGTGCTTTCTTGCACACATTCTCTCAGGACTTACAATATTGGTATTTCCCATTACTCACCCAAGACATTTAGTAATGTCATTTTGGAAATCTATTCCTTCATTGCTTGAAATGTCTTGGGCTGTTTAAAAGGTGTTGTTTTCTTCTATACTGTTATTATTATTTTTTAATTTATCAGT